TACCCATGCCACCCATGGCGCCAAGGCCACCGCCACCTATTGCACGAATCATGGCTCTTTTTTGAATTAAGACTTCTTCACGGGCAAGATTGACATACTCCTTTTGCGCCTCATTGAGGTTAGATGTGTCCAAGAAGAACAAGTGCTTCTCCCATTCCAACAATCTTGTTCGCTCCTCATTTCTCACCTTCCTCTCCTCCAAAGCCACCTTCCTCTCCTCGGCCGCCACCTTCCTCTCCTCGTCCGCCAACCTCCTCTCCTCGGCCGCGGCATCTTGGTTCCTTACCATTTTTCTCACCTCGTTGGCTTATTTTCTTGCCTTTACAATAGCTTCCATAGCATTTTTGAGCTCATCATCTCCTTTCCTCTTTTTCTTTTCTGTTTTGTCTTTCTTGCATCCATCCGGTCATTTTGGCTTCGAGTATGAAACTGAGTTGGGTGTGGGGCTTCTCTTGCCGTCATCACTTGATGCATCATCCTCCTCCTCATCATCCAACTCAATTGTTCGCTTGCGTTTGTTGCTCAAAAGCAAATCATCCAAATCTTTACGCTTCTTCCATTTCTCATCATCCTTCAACACGTTATAGCAATGAGGCAAGGTAAAGACCCTTCCTTTCTTGGTCTTCCCCTTTTTGGTTTTCCTCTCCTCTTCTTTGAACAAGTTTTGTGCAATGTTGTACTACATGAAAACAAAGCAAGTTAGCACTTCGAACACCAACAACAAGTATGATGAACATGTATGGAATGCCACTTACTCTATCGTCCTCATTTGTGCCACTTGGGTTCAACTTGTCAACCACCTTTTGACAGGCGCCCATCTTTGACAGTCCAAGTTGATTGTCGACCATCGGGACCGAAGTGATCTCTTGGAGCGGTCAATTCCACTCACGTTGTGAACATCAAAGTGTTCTTTCATCCGCCCCCAATAAAGCATCTCTACTTTGATCACCTCCAACGGATGGATCCCTCGACACTTGCAACCAAGTATTGCATAGTAAGATGTCATCGGCGTTGGTGTAATTGCCCGCTCTTCCTTTCAGCACGTCGACAATGCCTCATCCTCCTCGTCCACCTCGAACTCATGGTCTTCGAAATGTATGTCATTGGTTTGAGACCAATGCGAATTGTTGGAGCCAACACCCATAGTTGACATGTATGCATCATCATTGAGACTACAAAGTTTTTTGAACAATGCAAATAAGCTATCTATATGAATGCATTGAAAAAATAACAAGAAAAGAAAAGTTGGAAAAAAAATTCTACCTTGGGGGCATTTCGTCGAACATGTTGTCCGCGTCGGCCGCCGGCTCAACGAGTGAGCTCGCCGGCGCTTCGGTAGCCGCCGCGCCCGTCGCACGCCCTGCAAGCTTCTTCCTCCTTGCCTTCGAGGTGCCGGAGCCGTCCGCCGCCTTGTTCTTCTTCGCCGATGTCTTGCCCTTCTTTGGCCGCGCCGCATTGGGGAGCTTCGAGGAGAGGGCGGCGGTTCGGGCCGGCGCCGGCGCGCCGCCACCCGCCGCCAAGGTCATCCGCGACGGCATGAAGAGGCCGCGCGCGAGGCCGATGGTCGGAGGAGCTTCGGCGGAGGCGAGGCCAACGCCACCCTCGCTAGGGTTTGCGGCGGCGGAGGCAGCGGTGGAGGGGTCGCGGCTATAGGATGGGGTGAGCGGGGTGCTGGCGCGTGCGTCCATGGGTGCAGTTCGCCGGCGCGGGCGCGCGCGGGGCGTAGGAGGCGGAGAGGAGAGAGTGCGGCGCGAGCACTCGAGTGTGCCGCGCGCGGAAGCGGGTGCCCCAAATACACCACGCGAGATAGCGAATCCGACCGCGCGCCTAACTCTTTATACCACACGCGCGGTTATTGCGCGCCCGCTGGAGCCACCCGCCGGGTTGCGCGCGCGCTAAGATGGTCAAATTTACGGTGCGGCGTTTGTTTAGCGCGGCTGTTGGAGATGCTCTAATTGGCTTGAACTTATACTTGCCTGGGTCACGATTGGCAACAAGTACATTATCTTCTTGGGCTATAAATTTTACTAAATCTAGGGGTTAAGATTCGTATGCGTGATCGGGCTAAAGTTTATGGGGATACATCGTCGCTCAACCTGTCGATTTAACACAAAAAAGCTATATCTCACTTACTGCGATGTACAACGAGTGACCGCGCCCGTCGTTCCACCCACGGACCAGGCCTATTAACGCAGTTTTTTTCTGCTTTATTTCTTTGTGCAGTTTTTTTGTTTCTTTTCTTGTTTTGTTTTCAGTTTTCCTTTCTGTGTTTTTACCTTTTTATTTATTCTTTGACTTTTTTACTTTTCATTTGTCTGGTTTTCTAATTTAGGTTTATCTTTTATTCCCTTCTTTCCATTTATCTCTTTTGTTTTGTCTTTTTTACTAAACACTATTTTGGCTTCCATTTCCTTTTCTGAATACTGTTTACGATAAATAATTATTTAGGAAAGGATACAATATTTATTTAATATAAGAATACTTTTGAATAACGTGATGCACACTTGTTTTCATATGGGGTGGGCATTGTTCTAAGTACATGATGGACATTTTTCGAATATGTGGTAAATAATTTTAAAACAAGTGATGACCATTTACAAAATACATGTTGAAACGTTTTTCAATATGTGGTGAATTTTTATTAAATACACGAAGCACTTTTTTCGAACACGTTGGAACAGTTTTATACAGGAGAAACGTTTATCCAAATATATATTGAATAGTTTTTGGATACACGATGACCATTTTCAAATACAGAAAGTAAATGTTTTGGATATGTGGTGCACATTCTTTAAATGCATGATGTACATTATTTTACATTAGAAACATTTTGAAATATACAGTTAACATTTTCCAAATAAATGGTGAATACTATTAAAATACACAAGAATATTTTTTAAATACATTGTGACAAAAAATTATATGTGATGAACAATTTTGAGATATGCAAAGATATACATTTTAGAATATGAGGTGAATATTTTGGAATACATGATGTATATCTTGTGAAATATGCGATCAATATATTTTCTAATATGCGATGAACTATGTTGAAATACACCATAATATGCGACGAACTACTTTTAAATATAGATACTAAAAGTAGTTTCCCAAAAATATCAGTGGAGAATTTCTAAAGGTAGAGGAACAAAGAAAAACAAAAAATATGAAGTGAACATCACAACATGGGCCCGTGTTCCTTCACGCATGCAGGGCTCATGTCGCGCATGGGCGGACATTCTGAACACTTGTTTTCAGATAAAGTTGGGCATTCTCCGGGATGAGCTGGGTTCAGACCGGGCTGTACAATGCCCGACCCAAATTTCGCACGCATGGGCCTCGCTCGGCCTAGTTCGTAGCCCAGGAAAATGGCTGTTTTCTCATTTAAAATTAATAAAACAGCTAATTTTGGTGCTATATAAACTATATTATGCCTATATTTGTTAATATACCTCAAAAAACATGTTTCATTGGGCTTTTCCTGGGCTTTGGGCAGGGCCATGGGCGATAAAGTGAGGCCCAATCCAGGCCGGATGTCGGGCTCCGGGACAAACTTACAATTTTTCTTTTTCTTTCCCCTGTATTGTGTATTGCATATTTTGTTTTTTGTTTCTTCTTTTGGTTTGATTATATCTTTTCCGTTTTTTCTGG